ACTCGTTGGCGCTCACAACGAATGGTAGTGGCAGCGCAAGAAAAAGATAGAGAGGCAATGGAGAAGAAAAGAAGGAAAGAGAGAGAGAGAGAGAACTGCCACCAACGGACAGCAAAAAACTGCTGGCAACAACAACAACAGTGAAGGAAGAGTGGTGGTGAGTCGGCAACGCAGCAGCACACCAACACGGCACGAAACAGTGCGACGGGCAATGTTGCCGCCACTGGCCAACAACACACGTCGCCTCGTAAGAAGGCAGGGAAAAGAAGCAGGGAAGAAGGCTTTCCTTGAGCAGGGGCAGTTTACAGAAGCAGGCAGGCAGGCAGGCAGAGGCCAGCATTGGGCATTGCAATGCACAGACACAGACAGTGCCGCCGCCACTTTGAACGCGCGTCTTTTGGAAAGACTGCTGGCGCAAGTGATGCTGATCAGCGGCGGCAGCAGTGCCAGTGTCTGCGGACTAGAGCGGGTAAACGGTGCTGCTGCTGCAAACTCCTTTCCTCTCTGTCTGACTGCACGCCACCGTGGCCAGCCAAAAGCCAAACAGTCGGTCGGTCGGTGGAGCAGAGAAGGCAGTAGCAGATAGCAGGGAGAAATTCGGGCGCTTCAGCATTAGCTTTGGAGCTTTGGAGCACTTTAGCTCTTTAAACTAACAACAGCAACAGCAGCAGCAACGACTGAAGCAAAAAAAGTGCGCCAAGTAAGCGTGCGCGCGCGATCACACAAACACACACACACACACATTAGCTTACACAAGCTCATAATGAAATACTAAACTGCACAGAGACGGAGACGGAGATGGAGACGGAGATGAAAAGGAGTAAAAGCGACGTCCATCGGTGTCGAAGGCAACTGCTACTGTACACAGCAGCAGCAGCTTTAACATAACGGCGGCAAGCAAAGTGCAGAAGACTAGGCAGATGCAGGCAGGCAAGGCAATCATAATAATCGTATAATGGCAGCAGCAGCAACAACAACAGCACCAACAAGGGAAGGAAACCGCAGAAAGTCGACCTAGTCGTCGTTTAGTTAGTCTCATTTAAAAAGCTGCTTTTCCTATTTTCTTTTTTCACTGTTTTGCCTTTTCTTCTTACCTTGTTCTCCCTTGTGACATGAGCTTCTGACTTGAACATACTCAATATTTCTGTCTGAACCACTTTAGAGCGATCTTGTTTGAAAATAAATATGCTAATTTGTGTCGTTTTTAAATCTGATGAAAGACAATGATAACTTTTTAAAAAGCATGTTAAAGATCCGCAACTAGTACTTTTTTGCAGTATTGCACTGATCACTGAATTTATCTTTAAATGCATTTATTTACTTACGGACATAACGAAATTAAATTGAATTGACGTCACACCAGGCAGAGTTTTGTTGCTCATTTCGCTTTCACTATGCACTTTTTTAATTAAATGAGTTGTCAACTGGTCGCACTTGATTTAGCTGACTAGTGTGTTGTCTATTTTCTAAACAAACAGCAAAAGAGGCAACAATAAAAAAGAGAAAATGAACATGAACTACTTTCAGTCATTTGGCTTCATTCAGTCACTGTTTGACGTCAATTGAAAAGAAAGAAAGAAAGGATGAAACTTTCAGCTTTTCAGTTACCGAGAACAGCCCGTTAATTCTGGTTTTATTCTCCTGTAATTAAATTCCCATCGGTGTGAGCGTTTTGCCTAATCGGTTCACTCAGTCCCTCAGTATTTGCTTACGCTAGAACTGCATTCACTAAAGTAAGCAACACTCTGTTTTGTGTGCAGTGTCAACTGCTTTTCCATTTTATCCATTTGGCTTCTTTCTCTTTTTCGTCTCCTTATTTTTCCCCTATTTTGCCCGTCTGTACACCTACTCAACCGATTTCCCATTACCAATTGGTTTTTTCCTCATTCACTCTCTTTCTCCCTCTCATTCAATCAGTCAGTTAGGCAAACAGCCCACCAGTTACCAGACAAATGGATTGGCCAAATGGATGCCAACCATTTACCACTTAGAATGCGTGAAAGGAAATTAAATTTAGCAAAAAGAAGAAACAGCAAAAAAGAGTGTACAATCAGTCAGATAAAAGTTAGAAAAAGTACATCGGCTGTTGCTGTAAGTAACTTGAACGATTTTGACTTTGCAACACTACAAATAATTGTTGCTAAACCATTTCTGTCACTTGAAAAATGCTAAACTAAATTTGACAAGTAAAACCACCAATTGACATTAATTTTTAAATGTGTAAGTTGTTTGGATTTGCTTACAAACTTTCTGTAAATTAGAGACGTAGTGAGGTACCCAGTTTGTAGTAAGATGCAAACCAAAATTGCCCATTTTAAAGTTTATTTTAAGTAACAGAAATAACTATCACAGTGCTCATTTTTATGCGCTTTTTCCTTAAATTGGCACAATAAATTACATCAGAATATTCAGGAGACATTACCATTTTCTTTATCATTTATACAGTCTCATTTTGGGTTGTTGATCCACTTTCAATTTCCGCATCAAATGACAATATGTCTTCCATTCACTTCATTCTTTTTCTCCCAAACTTCAACCAAACAGAAATTGCATCTTAAATTAAAACTTAAAAACATAAGCTATTCTACTGAATTGGCCAAATAAAGCTGAAAACTGCACAGACGGGCAGAATTTTACAATACAGCAACAGCTGCTGCTGCTGTTTATGCTAATGTTGGTACCGTCGTTGTGGCCAAACAAAAATAAGATAGAGAACAACAAAAAAACAACAAAATTGCGAGAAATTAACCGCCACTAAATGGCATTACCATAATTTGTTTGCGAATTCAGTCTGTCTAGACACTGGCACTGCAGAGGAGCACGGTATTACTTTTCTGGGTAAATGAGGCAGAGTAGATGAAAAGGGAGAAGAAGAAAAAGAAACCCGTACAATGCTGCTGCCCTGGATCAAATATATTCAACCATCGACTGCTGTGCCATTGACGCAACAATCACTGCCGATGCTGCGTTTGCTGTCGATGTCCAACCACTCTTCTGTCGACTTCTTAATACCGTCAATACCCATTGCCGTTATTAGCATTGGCTTATAGGGAAAACTGAAAAAGAAATCTGTGTCCGCCAAGCAACCCCTAGACTAGTGCTCCAAAAGAAAAAGTTTAACTAAACTAGCAGCAGTTTCGATTGCTGGCAAACTTTTTTTCTTTTTCTCTTTCTTTCTCACACATTTGACAGCAAAGTTGATTTAGTAGGTAAATGGTGAAAAAATGTTCAATTGGAAGTCATTTTGATAAAGTGCTTTGCTGTTTAACTGCTGATCAGGTGTGGGTGTTGCAGTTGTTTAAGCAAGTTTCATATCTTTGTAAAAATTAAAATTTTTAATTAGTTTTTTTATTTAGAAATTTATTTTAAACATTTTAAACAATAAAATAACCGTATTTTTCAAGATATTCTATTTAGTCTGCCAAAAAATTGTTTTATAAGTTAGCTAAAAAAATTAAAATTTTATTACATAGATTACAACTTTTACTAACGATTAAATAGAATGCATTATTAATGGNTTAAAATTTTTTTACATAGATTACAACTTTTACTAACGATTAAATAGAATGCATTATTAATGGTACAAATTCTATAAGAAACTGATAAAATTATACAAAGTGCTTTTTCTAAGTAAAAAGATTGTTTTTTAACAATTTTTTGTATGCTTTATCTGGCTTTTATCATATGATTCTAACGTTTTTTTTGTTTTTAGTATTTCATCATTTTTTTAATATTTAATACATGACACCTTACTTGATGTTCACTTTTCAGTTCAATTTTTGAATAAAATAACAATAAATTGTTGTGAATGTATTTTCTCACAAACATACAATCATTTTTAGTGCCAACCACAATTTCTTAGACACTTACACTTATGAAAATGACAAAAACAACAGACAAACAACAAAAAACAACAAAAAAAGGTAATTTACGATTTACGTGCAAATAAAAAAATTGTAGAATGTTTTCTAAATGCACAAAAATACAAATAAAAATAGAACAAAAAGTAAGTAGACAGCAATTGAAATAGACAAAAATTGTTTAACTTTTATTAAGTTTTAGATAACCAGTAAAAAATTAAAAAATGAATTATGATTCAACTTTAATTTTTTCATTTTGTACAAATTTAAAGTTTCTCTTTTGTCTGAATAAACTAAAAAACGTTTTTCATTTTGAATGAAATTAATAGTTAGCTAGAATATTCTAATTACCAAAATAAGTCCAAATTTTTTTAAAAAAATGTTAATTACTTTTTACATTTAAAAATTCAAAGATACTACAATTCTATTAAAAACAAACTTAAAATTTTTTTATTTAGTTTTAATTTTTCTTTTGCGTAACAGTGAGTTCCATCTACTGTAATTGTTTGTGACTATAATTTACAGCTGCCGTGTCACCTTATTTGTGTATGAGCATGTGGGCAGCAGTGCCCTCAGATTGGTTGCTGCAGGGGCGCTTGGTGCCGCTGTTGCGACAGAGCTGAACACAATGCCGCTGCAGCTCAATCAAAACAAAAGAGCACAGCTTCATTTATTCTTTGCATTTTGCTGTTATTCTAAATTCAAAACACTGATTTTCTTTTACTGAACATTCACTTTTTCAGATAATAACTAAAAAACTGAAAACTTACACAGTTGTGAAAATTTTGCCTTTACTTTTTCTTGCTTTGGCATCTATTTGTCAAGTTACAACAAGAAACACATTTGTTTGACAAAAGGTAAATTTTTATCACAAGGAATCTATCTAGTTATTACTTGTTTTTAGAAAAGGTAGTGTTTTTGTTTAACTAAACATTTAAACGTGTTTAACTACTGTTTTTTAAATGCACATAAAAAGTGTATTTGGAAATGACAAAGTAAAATTCCGATTAAGACCATTTTTGTGTTTCTGTTTTAAAATTCAGACTTGACCTGTCACAAAATTCTGTTTGCACTTTTTAAACTTTGTGTTTAACACTTTTACTCTTTTTAACTTAAAGCATCTAGCAGCTGCCGATCAAGATGTCTGATCCAAACCAGATCGATCCCGCAAACGGCAATGGCCAGTACAAGAGTCCCTCCTTGCCCTACTATTCCGGCAACCCTTCTACTTTTGCCGAAGCCAGCTACAGCATTAACAGTTCGGCAATCGACTACTTTGTCCTGGCCGAGGATCCACAGGCTGCGGCTGTCAATCGAATGAAAAATGAGGCAGCCGGAGCAGGACACTTTTCATCTTTGGAGGTGGCGGCGAATGTGCAGTCCTTCACCTCTCCCAGCAAAGGATGCGGCGTGGTGCAATACCAGCCCACCAGCACCTCGATGGAGTACATTCCCCAGCGAATGGCCACCTTTGGCGGCTGTGACGTGGAGGAGGAGGAAGACCTGACCAAGTCCAAGGCGAAGACCATTCCCTACGTTCCGAAGCCACTACAGCGCAAGGGCAAAACTTTACAGTACGTTCCATCAGGAGGTGGAATGGCTGGCGCCGGTGTTGATGATACGGGTAAGTGGTGGTAGGGTGATACATGTCATACTCAAACAGCAATTGATCTTTCTAATGAAAACCTTTTTACCCTTGCTAAACTAGACACTCCATTTGCTCCTTACGTCTCGGAAAGTGATGTCGTCAAGGAGAGCAAAGTAGTGAAAGCCAAGAAACCTTCGCCAGTCTATGTTCCTAAAACTCCAACGAAAGCTGTCGTGTCCGCTGGCAAACAGTCAACTCCTACTTCTACTACTGTCACTACTGCTGAGCCATCACATCCCAGCAAGGTCAGCTCACCCAACCTGAAAGAGCAGCCCAGTCTGCCCACAACTCGACAAGCCACCAAACGACCGTCGACGACGACTACTGTTGAAACTGCTGAAGCCGTCGTGCCAGGCGTCAAGAGCGCTCGCATTGCTCACAAGCCTTCCTATGTAAGTCCAGTTGTTTTGTGAATAAATCTATTGATTCTTACACAATTGTTTTGTTTCTTTTTAGGATGCCTCCCTCGCACCTCGACAAGCGGTGCCCCGTCGAGTTCGGCCCACTCGGGCGTCATTGCGTCAGCAAATGGCGGAACGATATGAGAAGGTGGCAGCAGAGGCTGCTGCTGCGGCCGCCGCAACGACATCCTCAGCTGATGATCAGGTAAGCAAAAAAAGCCGATGAATCACAGTCTTAATCTTTAAACTCAAAAACAACACTCAGTACTCAGTTAAAAGCACTTAAGTGTAGTTTCCAGTTTAGGTAGTAGTGCCTGCTTATCAACGATGGCATTTTACAGCTCTGATTTCTTTATACTGATTTTTTTGTCTTACGAGAGATATTGTTGCCCAGTGATTTGAGCATCGACGGAAGAAGCGACTGTATTATTGCGCGTGCATGACAGCAATGCACATTGTTTTCTACCATTTTTTTTCTCTTTTCTTGTTTTGATTTTGAAGTGGCTAGTTTTTTCTCACTAGTTTTAGTGTTTTGACAATCACTTTGTTTTTTCTACTTTTTATCATTTGTGAGTGTTGCAATTGGTTATCAGCGGAAGCTTTTTGAAGCTGGAAAAACACCGCTATCAAATCCTTTGCATTGGATTTAGAATAGTTTGTAATATGTGGCAATAGTTTCTCTAGCACATACTCAGTAAAAAAGTGATCAAAAGTAAGGAATTAGAGTTATATTTTGCTACAAGTTTTTATTTAATTTTTGTTGGTTATGCTTTATTGAATTTTTTGTAATGTTTGCTTTAAATCAGTTCTCAACTAACGACTTACTTTGTTCCTATCTTTAGATTAACTTAACAGAAGTAAAAAGCGCCCAACTAAACGCCTCAGCAAAAGTTACATCGCCTCCTGGTGTATCGCATTCAACAGCTACCTCCAGTAGTTCAACCACTAACGCTTCCAGTCATGATAACCTGAAGCTAACTTTAAAAATCCCCAAACCCCAAACGTCTTCAGCTAAACTGCCACTTCGAGTTACCACTCCCACTACGCCCACTACTGTTTTGATCTCATCAGGCAGCAACAGCAGCAGCCCTAAAGTGGGCGCCAGCAACCGAATCTCAACTGAGCCCTCCGCCTCCAAGTCGATCTCTGTGGCGCCCAACAGCCACCAGATCCGCAGCTCCCCAGCAGCCAGCACATCAGTGCATCTGCTGGTGGCCAAGGGAAAACCGGCAGAGACGGTAGTTCCCGCCCGCACCGTCGCCACTGCCTCTCGTTTCACCGTCGGCAAACGCGACAAGTCGTCGGCTCGTGTGGCCCACGTTCCCAAGCCGATCACCGCAAAGGATGCGGCAGTGCTGGGCATCATCAATCCGAGCAGCACCGTCCTCAGCAGTGGTGGTAAACCATCTTCGTCCTCTTCCTCTTCCTCTTCCTCTGCCACCACTGATGCGCAGAACCGGGCCGCCCTCAGCAAGCTGTTGATGCCCCTGGCGGACGCCTCCGCCCGAGTGCCCCTCTCCGTACGACGCAGTACACTGCTGAAGATTCGCGCCGAGCTGATCGCCAGCACCGGAAGATCGGCGGACGTCCTCCCAGTTGAAGAGCTCCTCGCAAAGTCGGCAGAGGCGCAGCAGCTGGAGAAGGAGATCGCCGGACGGGCGAAAAGCAATCGAAACATCTACGTCAGCCTGGGCGCCTCCAAAGTGGCCACCATTCGACGGGAGCAGAAGGAGGCAAAGGCGGCGACGGCAGCAGGAGCAGCCATGTCTACCACCACCTCCGCTTCCAGCTCAAAGAAGCTGACCAACAAAAAGTACCGCAATCTGCTGTCGACGGCGCCGGCCACTCCGGCCGCCAAGATCTCCCACGACGCACTGCTGAAGTTCAATGCCAAAAACTGCAGTCTAGTCTCGCGAGAGTCGGCTCGTGTGGCTGACCTCAGTCGAGAGGAGCTGGTCCATCAGCTGAGAAAACTAATGATACCCAGTGAAGAGCTGGAGAAGTACGGTTTCCCTCGACCAGTTTCTGCTGGTGATGGTGATGACTCTCTGGGCAAGGCATATCTGCCTAATTTGGATGCAAAAACCAAACCAGTGCCCTACGTGGAGGGCATGGCAATGACCTGTCGACGCTGTCGAGCAATCTACCGAAACCCTCAAAAGCGATCAAGTGTTGGCAGCAGCGACTCAACCGAAACCCCAAAACCGGCCTGCGTCTACCACGAGGGCCGTGTCTTCAAGTTCCGCGACCGCCAGGGCGTCGATGGAAAGTACATCTGCTGCAAGGGCGACCGAGAGTCGGGCGGATGCGCCTCGGCCACTGCCCACGTCACCGATGGCCTCGAGTTCACCGACGCCCACCAGGGCTTCACCGCCACCGTGCCCGGTGGCTCCAGCGGAAAGGTCCTGCCCAATGTCTTTGCCCTCGACTGTGAAATGGTAATCATACACCTGCTTTTAAAATGACTGATCTTTGTGCTAACAAAACGCTTTTACCACCTTCTTTCCAGTGCTACACTGACCACTGTCTGGCGCTCAGTCGCGTGACGCTGCTCAACTTTGAGGGCGCTGTAGTGTACGATGCGCTGGTGAAGCCGGCAGGCGTCATCCTCGACTACAACACCAAGTTCAGCGGCATCAAGGAGGGCGACCTGGAGGGGGTGACCACCACGCTGGCCGACGTCCAGGCGGAGATACGGGCACTGGTCGCCGCCGAGTCCATACTCATTGGCCACGGTCTTGACTCGGACTTTCGTGCGCTGAAGCTGTTCCACGAGAAGGTCGTCGACACTACTCACCTCTATCCGCATCGACAGGGGCTGCCCTTTAAACGGTCGCTGCGGATGCTCGCCTCCAACTTTCTCAATCGTATTATTCAGGACAGTGGTAAGTGACATGGCTGACTTTTGTTGTTTCGTTTTTAGTTTACTAAACTGTTTTACTTTATTGATGTTTTTATTACGCCTTTCAGACGAGGGTCACGACAGTAATGAAGACGCCAAAGCAGCTTTAGAGTTGGTCAAGTTGAAACTCCAGGAAGAGCTTAATAAGTTTTTAATCAACTGAAGATAGTTTCGTGAATATTGAAAACCAAATTAACACTTGTGATGAAAAATGTCTAAATTTATTTATAATGTGATTTCAAGTATTTTTTTAATTTTCTTGGTAAATGATCACTAAAATGTTATTACTCTGTTTGTATTCAGCAAATCAATAGTAACATGTTTGTAAGCTTTGTTTAACAACATTTTCTTATTTTTGCACATATATAAAAGCTTTTTGTTTTTGATAACTTTAAATTTCAATTAAGTTTATTTGTTCATTTTACTACCAAAATTTTTTATTTACTTTTTTAACAAAATATCTAAAAATTCTTATATCTTAAAAATGAAATATTTGTTAACGCGCACTAAACAGTGTATAGTTAAAATATTAATTGCTTTAATTAATTATAGCATTTTGATTAAAAGTTGTAATAATAATTAATTGCTTGCCAAAAAGTCATATTGGCAAACAGATTTAGATGACTTTTTATTGTCATTGTCCTCTTTAGCCAAACACTCAAGCACGCCAAAATGGTTTCTAAATTGTCATATCCGATTTGACAACACTGCAGCAAAACCAATAACACCAATAACAACATGACAATAAAAACTTCCTCTATCTTTTTGCTAATCTAACTTTCTAAAAATAGATTCAGATGTTTTTATTATTTTTTCACAAGTATCGTACAACAGGTACAATAAAATTTGAGTTTATTTTTTTGCAAATAAACACAAGTGTTTTAAGTTTAAAAACACAATCAACAGTAGAGACTTCAAACAATGATGTTGACAGTCTAACCAGCTTTTCATACTGCATTCGCCATTGACAAAAACAAAATTCAGATCACCTCATTTACTCGTTTCAAATTTTAATTAATCATGCTCTACTTTTAATTAGCATACACGTCATCAAAGTGGGCACAAAATCTTATGATGTCCTCATTTATTTAGACACAATCAATACTTTTGCCGCCACAACTACCTAATTTGTAGCATTGAAATCTGCAAATTGCTAATAAAATCAGCATCGCCTAAACAGACAAACACTTCACTACTTTATTAGCGTTAAAATCAGTCACATGATTAGTGTTTTTCTTTCATTGCCCATGCGGCCACACTTTGCAAACTTGATGATAATGTACGTGTGTTTTAATTTTAGTGCTGCCGCTGCTGCTGCTGCTGCAGTTGTTATTGTTGTTGTCAATTCGCCCGCCACATTTTGGAGTGGCTGATCACTGAGAAAAGAGCACAACACAGCACAGGCAGATAGACACACTCCTCATGTGACAAAGTTGACAAGGCTGCCATTGCTGGTGGTGGTTATGGAGTGGATGCAGTCGTGGTGTGTGCTGCTCTCTACCAATGTGCGATGGTCGTACGAGTCGATGTACACGTACGCCAAATGCCCAGTGCACACATACTCATGCTGCTGCCTCCTCTGCTGTTCTCAAATCTTGAAGACGTCCTCGTCTGCTTTTCCTAGCGTTTGCTGTTTCCTTTTCTCCAGTGAAATATGGTTCACAGCATGAGTCAAAGCACTAGCCTCCGCCGATGATAATCTTCAGAGCGTAGAAGGGAGTCTGAATTGAAGAAAAAAGTGGTGTCTGATGATGATAAGGTCGGTGTGTGCTTGAGTGTGCGAGTGTGTCTGCACACAACACAACCTCTGAAGTCATGACATCAGCACTGTCGCCGCCAGTTGATTGTGAAATTGTCAGTTTCAGTAATCTTCCTCTTTTGGTATATAATCATTTAGGAGTTTGCACAGTGCTGAGCAAAGCAGAAAATTCTGTCTGTCGGTTTCTTAACGTTGTTGTTATTGGAAAAGTAGTGCAATTGATGTGCAATAATGTAGCTAAATCAGAAAATTATCGTTTTAAGTTTCAAATTAGGAGATGGGGTGATTGGGTGTGTCTGACTTTGTCTGGTGTTTTTGTTATTTGGTTGAAAGTCATGGCAAAAAATTTGACAAAGTCCATTGGGTTTTACAAGAGTTTGTGCTATTTTTAATTTATGTTTTTGTTTTTACAATTCATTAGTTTTGTCTAAATAAAGCTTAAGAATTTTTTCGTCAATTTTTTAAAGTTTTAAACTTTAATTTAGTTAGTTTTATATATAAAATCCTTTCAATTCTCCAAATAGCAAGAAACCTGACAAACTAAACAAGTTTACTAACAAATAAAATGTTGTTTGTTTTTAATTGCATTAAAACTGGTTTTCAAAACCAATATTAGTTTGAATGATACCTTTGAGCGTTTGTGTAAACATGAACAAAAAAACACTTGGTAAATAGGCTATCAACTAGTTGTATTAATTATAAAATTGCTGTTCAGAACCAATGGCTATAAACTATTCATTAAAATTAAAAAATAACACCTGGTAATCAGGTGCAATTGTCTGTTTTACATTTTTTAAGAATTTTAAATCAAGCAAAAAGATAGTTTACTAATCAATTGCACAGTCAGACAACAAACAAAACAAAAGGTTATTGAACATTTCAATGTCAAGTTAAAAATATCACTGAAGTTTTTACCATGTGTTTGCTTTTAAACAAAAAATTAAATTAATTAAAAAATCACCAATTTAAAAAACTAAAATTTAAAAATTTAAATTAAATGTTTTGATTTTTTACTTAGTTAAATTAAATCTAAAACTAAATTAGCAATATGCTGTAATAGACATTAGTTGCTGGTCAACTATTGATCACCATATCAGAACTTTTCTTCTAATAATAAAACCTGCTTATATCTCACTTAATGACAGCACTGCCGGGCAATTAAAACTCGTCTTTAGCAATTACCATCAGTTCGCTAGTCATCATTTCTGTCTGCTTCTGTTTTTCTTTTCCTCTCCTTTTTTTGACCATTGGCGCCAACCAGTCAATCAACCAGTCTGTCTACTTTTGTACACTAATGCGCAAATCGTGCCAACTGGATAGACATTATTAAACTGGTGATCTTAAACGACCAAAAACAAAAGGACATCAAAGTCAAGCCAGGAGGCACCTGGAGAAGGGTAACCAGGTGAAGGTAATCTCTACCATCTTTAGCTTTATGTCGTTGTTGTTGTTGAGGTTCCTGCAAATGATATACAACGATAACAAAAGACAAAGGATTGTGGAAAGAGAGAGAAAGAGAGAGAAAGAGAGAGAGAGAGAGAGAGAGAGAGAGAGAGAGAGAGAGAGAGAGAGAGAGAGAGAGAGAGCGACGGTCTCAAAAGAAAAAACCCAAAAAATTAAGTAGTAGTAGTAGAAATAGAAGTGCTATCTGGAGAGCCCACCAGAGAGCCCCCGTCGTCTGGCCGTCGTTGTTGTTGTTGTGTTGCTGCGCTTTTGACTTTTCTCGACGTTTCTAAAACGTATCTCCGCCAGTGTACGCAAAGACAACAAACACACGGCAGCACAACGTACTGGTAGCATTGCCATTACACTCACACACACACAGTTGCAGCTGCTGCCTAGTCAGCAGATATGACAGTGTAGACAGTACGGCTGCTGTTGTTGCCTACCAGTGCTGTCTGCCTTTCTTTCTCTTTCTCCTTCTCTTCCTTTCTTCCTTTACCTCAACTTGGCTCCAGCAGCAGTATATAAGGCGGTCGGCGGTGAACGTGACTCAACATCATCGCAAATACCACCACCACTTCCACCAAACAGCAAACCAGTATCTAGCAGGACATCCCCGCAGATCTCGCAGCCAGACCAAACACACCTTCAACCTTTTCCAAACACTCTTTCACTACCTCTTTCTTCGCAACTTTGCATCCCAGCACCAATCCTACTAGCAACAACAGCAATCATGGCGGCCAACAACAGCAACAACACCGATGACCTTGACTACTACACCTTTGACCACGACAAGCACATGTTCAGCTCAAAGAGTGGCAAGCAGCGCAGCAAACGCGAGGTGGCCGGTCACACCAATCGCTTCGACCCGAACGGGCACTCACGGAAGATCAGCACCAAGATTCGCAACACCGAGAAGAACTCGGTGGCCGCCGCCAACAAGAGCGGCCCCAGCACGGTGGGCAAAAAGGACGACCAGAAGAGGCCAGATGCGACTGACGCCAGAGTGCCAGTGACGGCATTCTAAGTCTAACGGGAACTTAATGGAATGGACGGACCAATCGGACTCAGTGGGATTTGGCTGGTTCAAACATGCACTCACTCGCCTTTTGATTCGTTGACTTTTACTTCCTTTCTCTGGTTCAACTTGTCTTTGCTCTTCGGACCTTTTTGCTCATTTCTGGTTTTCCCCTTTTGTTGTTGATTATCAGACTTGTTCTAGGTTGACCTTTCCGCGCCTTGAGCGTGAGTGGCATTGAAAGGGATGAAGAACTAACACTTCTCCCTTTCTGCCAAAAGCTTTTGCAATGTTTAACCTTTTTGTATGTTTTCATTAGCATTTGAAACATTTGCAATTTTTGTTTGCACACACATTTGAATGTAAATAAAGTTTTGTTCATTCAAAAAACTTTTGAAAAGTGTTTTCTTTATTTTGGGTTTATAATTATGTGTAAAATTAACTTCTATATAACTTCCTCATAAACTTTCTACTGCTAACAAAATCAAGCAAATAAGGTAGAAATAGCTAAGGTAGAAATTATCAAAACTATTACAATTTGTTTTAAAAAGTCAAATTTGTTATTAATAAAAAACAAATTTACCTGTACCTTTTTAGCGCCAAAATTTTATGATTTGATCTAAAAATAAAGTGGTAAACGAAAATAAAATTAAAGACATTTACCCATAACTACAAATGTTTTTTTATTGTGCCAGTCAAACTTAAACACACAAACAACTTAAGTCGACAGTGATTTTCCATCAACTAAGGTTAGCAACAGACGACAGGAAAATGTGCGCATTTTGTTGTTAATTGCAGCAAACAACTACCAGCGTTCAAGGGCAGTTAAAAAGTGTGAAGTAAACAGAACCTGTTTATTGTGACTATTATTAGAAAACATTTTTTATTTATTTAAAACAAAAATTATTACAAATTTTAACAAAAATGCCAAAATTAAATGCAA